TGCCTCCTGCACTTTTAGCTTTTCTGGTGCCTTTTTCTCCTTCCTCCCTGCTGCCTTGGGCAGGTTCTTCAGAGATCTCCCACCGTCTCCCATGCTGCCTGTATCTCTTCCAGATAGTCTTCATTTCTACTTTTATATTTTTCATATGAAACATTTCCACTTGGTTCTTTCTTACAACTCCTTGTTACAGCCAAGAAATTATTAGTCTTCTTCTTTAGCATATATTTATCACGTTACTTGAAAATTCCAACTCTGCTTCTACTGGTGTTCAGTTCGCTGCACTTCTCCGTGGCAGCCTCTGGGCCCGGCCTATGGCTGCAGTCCACTCCCGCTGTCTGGCGATGGGTATGGAGAAGGTAAAGGCCAGGTCCTGCTGGTGTCTTGAGAGAAAGCATAAGGAAAGGGAGGGCCTGGACACAGAATCTCAGTGGATGAGCCACACTTACTAATAGTATTTGACAACTTTGTCCAAAGTTCTTTACACTTACAAAGAACTAAGTTGGAATGAGAGTGGTCTTCAATTTTGACCTCTACCCAGGGTGTGATGGATACTCTAGGTGGTGGAACTGCGCACCACCTCCATGAGCCTCTGAGTGGCCTGGCTGAGCAGCCCAGCTGCTGCCACTGACTCTGGGGAAAAGGGGAGACTGGGTGGCATACACGAGGGCAGCACAGGGAGAAAGAGCGCTCCTAGAGGTCCCTCCTTAGTGCTGTTAGGGGACCTTGGTCCCCACACCCTGTGCCAGTTTCCCAGCCAGGGTGTTGAGTTCCTGGGGCACAGACTGCTCCCCAAAGGGTGGCTATGGTTTCTCCAGAATGAAATGGATGATGCCCACTGGGCAGGCGCCACCCTAAGGAGGAACAGAAACTTCACACTCACTTGAACTCACATGAGGCTACCAGCCCACAGCAGCCCAGTCCATAGCCCATTCCTGAGCACGGATGAGAACAGATGACACAGGGATGGCTTCCCAGGTGAGCCACCAGGCTGTAGGCCTGAGGAGCAGGTATTGCCTTGCGTGCAATTGAGAATGCATCAAATTCAGTTAATAGCCCAACTGCTTGAAAAATAACTTCATAAATTAAAAGAATGTAGCTTTCAAATCTCTCACAATTAAAAATGCAACTCAAATATATTCTCTTCTAGGCAGACTGTGCAGTGATCCAGATTATTATTGAGAGGTTGCTTAGTGACAGCACAGGACCTTTCTTCCTCCTGACCACACAAGCCACTGGCCGCCTAGGCCTCTGTCTTTTGCAGTGGACATGGTTACCAAGAAAAAGGACTCTAATGTTGAAGCTGATTCCGAGAGAAAGTAACATACTTCACTGGCCTTCACTACAGCTGAGCAGTGGCAGCTTCATTTTCTGTGAACAGCAGAACTGCCTTTAACAACTTCTGTACCACATAGCAGTTTGTGACTATATTCTACTAAGGTGTGATTCAAAAATGCCATGTTTAATTTTAAAATTTATTACTGTAAAAAACAGTGCCATTAATACCCCTCAAACTCCTCCTCCTAGCTTCAAACACACTTATCCCATCCTTCTTGCCACTTTCTGAAGTAGCTCTGAAAGTCCTCTTTCATGTCTTTAGTTGCACTATTGTGGCTGCCTTGATAGCCTCAGTTGACTTGAAACATTGACTTTTCATAGTGATTTTGACTTTAGAAAACAGCCAGAAGTCTTACGGTGCCAAATCTGGTAAATAAGGTAGACGAGGACACACTGTAATGTTTTTACCAGCCTGCCTTTGTGTATGGCACTTGGCAGCAGCACTCACTGTATCTTTTTTATCACAGCTTTTAAAGACACTCATGAAAAGGAATTCCAGAAATGCTTCAGAAAGTAGCAAGAATAACAGGTTAAGTCTGTTTGAAGCTGCAGGGAGTATTCTGAGGGGGATTAATGCCAACGTGTCTTACTATAATAAGAATTTTTTTGAAAAATTTAAACATTCACTGAATATTTTGAGCACACCATGTATAGCTTTTAGGATTCTTACACAACCTCTAAATACACAGAAGCATCTTAGAAAAAGATAGAACCATTGTTTGGGTGCAGCCACATTAGTCAACCTCATGTAAGGAACCATTTTATGTTTTATTTTGAAAAGCATATGTGTGAAAAGGTAGACTATTCCTCAAGTGAGCAGGGCACAGGATCACTGAACTCCAGTGAGGAGCAAAGAGGAGCTGCTGAATACTAATCCCAACATGGAGCGGCATGACTGTCCATCCACATAGCCCCATCATCACCAGTGGGTTCAGATGTTCAGACCCCAGGTACCATCACAGCTGGCTTGGTGAGTGTGAGCACGGAGCAGGAACTGTGCATGTTTTACCCGGGGTTGTGCTAGCACACTCACTGCAGTGCTGCAAGTCCTGAGTGCACACCTCTCTCTGCTCTGAGGGTCCATCACAAAATAAGGATGCCCAGCTCGCTCTCGCCAGGGCTGTGCTCTCCAGGGTGGCTGTGTATTTGCACTTTCATTCCACTCATTCTTGTTTCTAAGTGTCTCGGTTGTTTGGGCTGTGACAGAGTTCCACAGACTGGCTGACTTATAAACAACAGAAATTTCCTAGTTCCGGAGGTGTGAGGTCCAAGATTAAGGCACCCATGGGCTGGGTGTCTGGGCAGGTTCCTTCTTCCTGGCTTACAGATGCCCACATCTTCTGTCTTCACATGGCTTCTCCCTCGGCTTGTTTTATGAGGATATTGATCCCATTCGGGATGGCTCTGCCTTGTGACCCAATCACTCCGAGGCCCCACCTCCTAATACCTCCACCCTGCAGTAAGATTTCAACGCATGGACTGGGGAAGGGCAGGACACAAATTCTCTATAGCACCCAGACAGAATCTACAACAACTGATTTTTCCTTCCTTCTTCCTTCTCTTCCTTCCTATTTTGAGAATGTAATGACAGGAATATTTATAAAGGTTGGGTAGAGTTAAGGAAAATGAAAAGATTAAGATGAAGCCCCAAGACTAGCAATAGCTGAATGCTGTTCCCGGCCCACACATAAAGAGGCGACAAGATGAGCCATTATGGAACCAGAGAAAATAGAACAGCTGGTCTTGTTAATTAAACTGGAGATCAGTGTTACTCCACACACTGTGACAGTTCAGCAGGAAAAGTTTTAATTTTAAAAGAAACAAAAGACTGCATCTTGGGACGTCCCTCCAGCCATCTGATTCCAAAGTCTGTCCTGAGCTATTTTTCTGTCTTCTTCACACCACAAGTCTTCCAGGTTGCTGAATCCAGCCTGGCCCACTATTTTACAGCTACGTCACAACCCTGGGTCGATGTGTCTGTTCCCTGAATTCTCTTTTGAGCCATTACAGTATCTGGTTGCCTCATAATGAATAAACTCAAAAAAATTTTATCATGTGCTCATCTGGTACCAATATCAGCCTTGATTTTATCCTTTTATTTTGGAAAACTATCTTTAAAAATAAGCACACACACACACACACCCCACCTCGTTATCCTGTGGAGAGCATCTGACCATGAAGTTGCCTGACCTTGCATCTCAAGGTCCTTCAAGACATACAGAGCCATCTGATGCAGTGGTGGCATTTCTAGCAGCCAGGCAGCACTACACACCAACTCCTGGCTTAGGGACCCAGCCCAGCTTTATTGCCACTTTCTGGTGGATTTCCTGGACATGCTCAGTTGTTTCTTGAAATCTATGGTATAGAGCAAACCATACTCCACCAGATATTCTCTTAAAACTTTTCTCAACAGTCCTAAATCTCAGTAGGAGGCACAGGGCCCCTCCCTAATCAGGGGGATTCTTAACTGCCTGAGCAAGTTGACAGATGTGCCTCCACACTTCACCTGTCAGCAGTATCCAGGCCTCAGATTCAAATGAATTTCACCGGGTCCCGGGTGACAAGGCAAAGCCTAGTTCTGCTTAATGGTGATGCACAGCCCTGGTCCCTGCCCCACCAGAATACTGCTGTGTCCACCTTACAGATGAGGAAACGGAGGTTCAGAGCTCAGCACTTTGCCTGACATGACACATTTAGCACGTGTTTGATGTAGTTCAAATCCAAAAGGGTCCCAATCCAGTACTTCCCACTCAAATGCCAATGCTGAACACTCTCTTCCACCAAGGTGCCCAGATTCAAAGGGAGAAAATCTTCCCAGGGAACCTCAGAGCAGAGTTGTCCTAATTTCTCCATCCTTAGGACAAAATACCTGACACCCAGGGTTTAAAGGAGAGGTTTATTTTAGCTCTTGTTTTAGACGTCTCATTGTGTGCACAGCTGGCAAGGTGGAAGGGCCTGGTGGAAGAAAGCTGCTCATGTCACAGGCAGACAGGAAGCAGAGAGAAGGGAAGAGTCAGGGAGGGAGATGACCCTTCCAGGTCATACATCAACAACCCCGCTTGTCCAACCAGGCTCCACCTCCTGACAGCACATTCAGATACAAACTCATTGGTGGACCACTCCACTGATGGATTCCATCTCCCATGATGTAATCACCTCCCCAAGATCACACCTATGATTGCGTGAGGCTTCTGGGGGACATGTAGGTATAAACCCTAACAAGAGCAAAGCAGCATTATCTTTTTCTTGAATATACATAAACACTCAGACACTTCTAAGCTGATGTCTAAAACTTTTCATCATGAATGAAAAGTTAAGGAGATAATTTCTAGCATATTTTAAACTTGAAATTTTTAGGCACATCCTTACATCTAATGATCAAATGACTTGATACCTATCATCACCCAGAAATGCACACTCATAAGTTTCCATCTTTCCTTCTTAAATTCATATGAGAAAACAAAGGTTCAGAGGTTAGTACCTTGCTCAGTGTGAAGACCCTAGGCTCAGTCCCTAGGGCCCCACCCAACACACACTGAAGTAAATTTTATGAAAATATTATCTCTTAACTCAATGACAGGGGCAGGGTCTGTGTTTTTATGGATGAATGATTAAAGTTATATAAATAAAACAGGAAGTCACCACCAGCAACTTTCTTTTTCTAGATTGGAAAACCTTGTTCCTATGAAAAAGTGAAGAGTGCTACCAGGAGTTTTGAGAGATGTCTGGCTGGCAGACACCACTTCCAGGTCAGAAGTTCCCTTGGGGTGGGAGGACAGTGGGCCGTTAGGGGGCTTCTGAGAAGTAAGGGTCCTGTCCTGCTGTTAACCAAGGTGATGAGTGCACTTGGAGTATTTTTCACTCTGCCATGGACAGAATTCAAAAAGTCTTTATATCTACCCAGCGTTTAATTTTACAATAGGAGACAGGAAAGAAATACCATAAAAAACACACGGCAGATAAGCAGTTTATCTTTCAATCAAGTCAATCAGGCTTACAGGGTTATCTTTTTGGACAGTTTATTTTGCTTCTTTTACTTTTTAATTAATTGATTTTTTTTTTTTTTTTGGTACCAGGCATCGTACTCAGGACCTTATGCTTTTGAGGCAGGCGTTGGAACCACTGAGCTAAATCCTCGGCCCCAAATGATTGATTTTTTTCAGCAATGGGAACTGAACCCTCCTTTGTCTCCTTTCCTACAATGCATTACTTAACACCTGCCAGACAGCTCAGGATTTCACATCTCTTGGCAGGTGTCCTTTAGAGACATTACATCTTCCCTCCCAACTCTGTCAAGGATTCATTTCTCCCTAACTGGAAAGGGGGCTGGGGCAGGGAGATGGTGCCACAAATCAAGGGTTCAGGGAAGACTGTCTGGTCAGAGGTAAGGACCAGCAGGCTGAGTGGTACAAGGCTGGGGTGTTCCCATGGTATGGCCTGGAGAGTGACAGGAACCCAAGAGCCTTCCTGTTCCCATTCCCCTCTATATGGGAGGAGCAATCATGTCAGTTCCTGGCCACACCTGGTATCGCAGTGTCTGTACACCCCAAGCTTCCCATGGGGCTCTGAGTCCTCTGGGACCAGGAAGAAGGCACACACCTGCAGGTGCTCACACTCGTCTTTATTAGCCCAGTCCCACCTCCTGGGGGATGCAGGGCCAGCCAAGGGTACACAGTCCTCATGTGGGTCCTGCCTGTGTGGCCAACAACTGCGGCACCTGGGGTAGGTAGGCAGATCGGCACAGCTGCTTCAGGACCTGGTTTCCTCAGGTACAGAGTCCCATGGGAGGAAAGGCCAGAGTGGAGAGTCCCATTGCTCTCCACAGGAAGAAGGCTCAAGGCCTCAGGACACAGGCATCATGGAGTAGAAGCCGAGGCCTAAGTGGTACTGGAGGCACCAGCAATGGGCCCTGGGTCGCACCCGCTGCCCTCCCCAGTGTGACCCCTTGCCTGACTGTAAATGTTCTTCCAGTCAGTTCTGTGCACAGAAGGCATTTGGATCCCTTGAGATCACTGCGTCCTGTGGGCTCTGCTGTGGGGTGCAAGGACGCAAGTGGCAGGAACCTGGCAGCCAGGAGTACTGCTCCATCCTGGGGCCGCCTTGGCTAGGAGTGGACAGCCCTGTGCGCAGGTCGTTTCTCTGTGAAGAAGCTTTTCAGCAGCAGCACCTGGCTGAAGCTCACTACAAACAGGGCGATCGTCTCACCAATGGACCAGTAAGAGACTCGGCTGTTGAGGTCTTCAGCTCGGGCTCGGTCCTGGGCTTCCCGGAGCCGGTAATGTGTCTGGGAGTCAATCACTGTCTTCAGAGCCTCATGGATGGTCACACAGGCAGATTCCATCTGAGCAGGAAGACACAAGCAGTCAGCGCTGACCTGAGACACTGTGGATGCCAGCTAACAGGCAATTTGTCGCTGACATCGAGGGAGCACTCTGAGTGCTAACTCGGTGTCTGTGCAAAGAGTCTACATGGTCCTGTTTACACCGAGAGGAAAGCGGACCTGGGGCTCAGAGAGGGCCAGTGACCTGCCAGCAGCACTGTCAGTGGATGGCCGGGTCAGGATCTGACTCAACTGTGTCCTGAGTCCATGCTCATGAGCACAGCCCTGTTTCTTATTTAATCCTTGTGAAGTACAGACAAGCAGGTCACCACCCTCGTCGTCAAGCAGGGCTGGGTGACTGTACACCCAGTGAGCTGATGGGGTAACTGAGGCTCAAACAGGCTACATACATTGCTGGGGTACATGGCTAATACGCCAAAGCAAACAAGACCTCAACCGTTTGGATTCTGACTTTCCTGCCCCCTCTGTTGTGTAACTGATGATATAGTTTTATGTATAAACACAGACTCAAAAGGACATCCATCCTCTTTTCATGTCACAAACATACACATATGCTCACGTCCTACTTCACAACATCCTGTACCTGCTAAAATACTGTGTGGAAAGCAGAACTTTGAAAACGCCCTGACCAGCACCCCAAGAGCCCTGTTCCATGCCCAGGAACCCCAAGGCCTGATGTGCTCACACACATCCACAAAGCAGCTTTCTCCAGCTGTCCTCGGAAGTGACCACCTGCAGGACCAGCAAAGGGCCCAAGGGGCTGACAACACAACAGATGACAGCTAGTCAGATGGGGGACCCTGGTCTTGCAATGGCACAGAACTGAACCCAACAACAGCCCTGAGAGCAGGAAAGCAGCTGCTCCCCAGGGCATCTAGCTAAGAGCCCACCCTAACCAACACCTCCTTCCTGACCTCAGCCAAGCCTACCCAGACTTACACTGTCCAGAGCTTCGAGGGATGAGGGGGCTGAGCCAGCCAGTGTGTGCGTGGCAAGAGTCACTGACCAGCAGACAATGAGGACAGCTTGCCTGTGCAAGACATGAGTTCTCACTAGAGGCTTCCCCGGAACCTGTGTGCCCAGTGTGCAGGCAACTGTCCCCAGCCACGCTGCCCAGACTGCAGATATCACTAAGAATTCACCAGTACCTCAGATCCAATCTTAAAGGCAAACTGCCTACAATGCACCTCATAAGAAGTTGCAGGAAGCTGCCCACTCCGGAACCTGTTTCTTAGCACAGTGACCATCCAGGAGGTGAGTAGGGAGCCACAGTCACAAGACAGGGCTGCCCTTTCTGAGTCACTGGTGCACTTTCCTCTGGCCTTGCAGGAGCTGCACTGCATGGGGAAGAGCAGCAGCACCCCCAGCCCCTGCACTGCCTGGTCTCCAGCCCACCTCCCAAAGCAACAGCTTCCTCTGTGCCTGGTGGCTGCCCCTCTCCTGACCTGTGGATGGGAAGGGGGACAATGTCACCTAGATAGAAAGGTGACATGATGTGAACTGTGGGGTGGACAGGCGACAGCAGAAACCAGGGAGGAGGAGCCCATCTGTGCTCCGATGTATCCCACAACGATACCTGTACTTTGCTTCTCAGCAGCTTCCTGTTTGTCCGAGTACCTACCACATACCACATACCACCCTCTCTTGTGACCAGTGTCCTCAGCCCAAGTGCTGAGGAGGTGAAGTCTACAGATGCCTGACACTAAGAAAGGAACAGATGATTCCAGAAGGGCTGGTGGCAAATGCTGACCTCCAGACAAGGCCACTTGGTGCAGACCTGCCTGCTGAAGCTGGTGAACTTGCTCCCTGCTTTCCTGCCCACCTTTGGGCCCTCCACGGGATGTCATCCTCACAGATACAGAACAGGGACTGAGCTGGGAAGGAACTGGGAAGAGGCCACAGTGTGGGGTAAAGCTATGGAAACCTGTGCCCAAGGTAACTCAAGATAAACTGTGTCAGAGCCTCCCAGAACCAACCTATGACCTCAACACAAGTAAACGGCAAGGCAAACTAATTCCACGCATAAAATATCCAGAGATCCCAGGAAACCAGTACAACAAGTGGGGCTGGGGCCTCAGTAAAATTTCAAACCAGGCTCAGGTTCACTAATTCATTCAAACATCACTGAATGCCCACTTGTCTTCTAGGCACTGTGCGAAGTCCTGAGAATCCAGACTCAATCACACACAGCCATTGACAACTAAAAGGAAAAGCTGATCGACTGTAAGGAAAAGTGGAAGCATTAACCAGAGGGGGAACACCCAGGAGAAAGCAGCCAATCCTACCAGAGGGGAGGGGACTTGACACAGGAAGTATAAACTGCAACCTGACAGACGGGCAGGACATCACCAGGCTGCAGATGGGAGGCCCTTCCAGGAGTGCAGGCCTGGAAATCACCAGGTCACCACAGTCCCACCAGCCAAAGACAAGGGCCCACTTAGTCACCATGTTGGGAAGGAGTGGATCTGGGGTGCTGAAGTCTTCTTGCAATTAGCAGAAGGGATGGATAAACACATGTGTGCATGCATGTGTATGTATCATGGTTGTATGTGCATACACATATGTATATAAATATATATGCATACATACACACAACATTTTATTCCTACAAACTCAGACTTCAGTTTTTAAATACTAGGAAAGCACTCACTTGGGTTTCCATGATAGAAACCCATTCTCCAAGTTTCTTTCTGTCACAGTTAGGAGCTCCAAGTGCACACTGGACTTACCAGACAGGCAGCTCCTTAGGCGCTGGGCCCTGGCCTGGGATGCAGTAGTGCTGGCCCATAACTTCTCAGTACTGTTGCCCTGGAGACCTTTGGGGCACAGATCATACCCACACCCCAAGAAACCCTACGGCATCTCACCACCAGGAGTCAGACAACCCTCCCCATGAAGACATGCTATTTCCTCATCTGCTGGGATGAGTTAGTGTTAGTCAGAAAGAAACCTCTTCCCCTTGTTATCACAAAACTTCCATCAGACAGACTCCCCAGCCTATTTCAACGGCAACAAAAAACAGCAGCCACTGGCTAAAAGGGCACCCACGCCCAGCTGACCAAAAACTGGCCGGTGAGAAGACAAAGGTCACAGCTGCTCTGCTCCTGTGACAGACACACTTCCGACAGCTCCACAGTTCACTTTGCCAGGAAGCCTGGCTGGCCCTCCTAGAAACACTGATCGGGCCTTCAAGACTCTGCACCCTTCAAGCCGCACTCTGGCCACAGTGCTGCATGCTAACTGGCCAGCTAGGCTGCATCCCCCACAGGGCTGGGGCCCCATCCCGCACACTTCAGGCCCAGTGGGCAGGTCACGTGAACTCTGCCTGAGATGACTCAGTCCTGCAAGCTGTGACACTGCGAAGGAAGAAGTGAACTGTGCTGGATGACGCAGCTGTAATTTTAAGGAAGAGGGAAGATTGGGCAATGCATAGGCCTCCATGGGTATGGACACACCGCAGAGGATCACGACCCACGGCCAGCTTGGAGGGCAACCAGAGGCGATTTGGCTTCCCAGGGCTGCAGACACACTGGCCTTGGCTCTGGAACAAGTACATCCAGGGGCAGTTGATCCTGTCCTACAGGTTCTTCAGGGCCCTGACAGTCATTCAACAAACACCTGATGAATTTCTCTCAGCACACCTTCTGCACAGGGAGGATACAAGGTAAATTCCAGAGCCTCCGCCCTCAGGAAGCCCTGGGCCTGTAGGAGGGAAGGAAGGAGGGGCTTAATTAAAAGTAGGAGGCAGGATGGTGGAGGCAGGGTCAGATCCTAACAAACCTGGAGAGCAGGCAGGGACAGTGGTGGTTACTTGAGCTCCTGCAATGTCAGTTTCTCTCCATGGTATGGAGCTGTTACTGAGAGACCACTGCCACCCAGGACCATGTCACCTGCCCAAAGGGACCTGAGCAGAAGTGATGCATATGACTACTTGGCAGGCCTTTCTTGTTCTCTCTTCCTTTTGGTGACTAGAGGCAGAGGACCCTGAAAGCCCAGGGGAGAAAAATGAGAAATAAACAAGTGCCTGGCCCCTGAGTCATGCCATGTTGGGAAGCCCCCACCAGCCTTCTTTCAATTATCAAGAGCAAGGAAGAACTTCTACTGTTAATCCACTGACATTGAGGTTGATATGTTATTGCTGGGAGCACTGCGTTGTAGATCACTATGGCCGGGCCTAATTCACCTCCTCCCACAGATGAGGCAGGGCCCCATGGGAGAACAGGCGACAAGAGGGTGTGGTAGAGAAAGGCCTGTCTGAGAAGAGGACGTGTCTTCCTCCCCCTCCATTCCCCATAAAACCATCAAGCATGTTGACCTTAGCTTCTCTCCCGTTCCAGTTCTAGAGCAGCCCCTTTTACCTCCCCCTGCACTTCCCTTATCTCTACCACTATAAATAAACGTACTACGGTTGCCTGGCATTCTTTTTAGTCCCATCTGGAGGAAAAGCCCCACCTGGCCCCAGCTTTGTATCTCTTTGTTCTCTTGTATCTCTTTTTTCTCTTCATTCATTCTTGCTCCATGGACCCTTCGGCCATGCAGGCCATGGCATGTTATAGCAGCTGTGTTGCCCTAACACACCACACACAGTAGGACTTGTCTTCACAGCAGGCATGTCACATGAGCAGAGGCATAGGACCTAAAGGGCTTTGAAAGAGACTGACTGGAATGAAGTAGAAGGGAAGTCGGATACTGCAGGGATGTGGCTAAGGAACAACAAGGAAAACGAGGAGGAGAGCAGTGTCCTTTAGGGCTGGACACTGTCATTAGGGGTTGGGGGTTCACTCACCTGGGTGAGAGCCGTGACCTTGTTCCCCATGTCTGGGAGAATGGGGGGCTCGTCGCCCACCTGGAAGTCAAAGTAGACAGTCTTGTGCGAGAAGGTGGAGAACTCATTGCTGAAGCAAAACTGGTAAACGCCCTTGACCTCAGTGCGGTAGGTGAAACTGTCATACTGCTTTTTGGTTTCCCTGTAGATGATGTTCCCCAGGGGGTCCTCCATGTAGCAGTCGACATCATAGTGGCCTCCAGTGATGACCTGACAGACAGACAGACAGTGAACTGTCATTGAGGGACAAACAACACTTTCTGCACACTGGCAATACCCTACAATCAGCCCCTACAGACTCGTCACTTAGTCTTCACCACTGCGCTTCCAAGCGCCAGGGTTGATACTTGAATCTATGCCTACCTCCTCCCAAAGGTTTTGCTCTGCAGGAATACAGTGAGCCTGATTCCTCCATTCTACTGAGGAGGAAACTGAGGTTCCTAAGAGGAGAATGTGGCAGAGCTGAAATTTGACCTGAAGATTACTGGCTCCATCTCTCACATACCAAGTCACCACACTGGTCTGCAGAGGAACAAATACAAGTGCTCTTCAAGACAAGGCAACAAGGCTTTCTGAAACTAGGAGGAAGGTAAATCAAGGAAACGATCCCCAGACTTTGCCACTTGTTAACTGTGTGATCTGGGGCAAGTCACTCACTTGGAGGACATGTCTTCATTTGTAAAAGGCAGGTGGATACCAGCAGGGCCGGCAGACCTTTCAGGACGGAGGCTTGGGCAAGGTAAGACATCTAAAGCCCTTAGCAGTCTGACACTGAAGTGCCAGTCAATTACAGCACAACCTCAGGTGGCACACCGGCCCTGAGGATGACGGTGGAGAGGTGGCCTCTGGCTCCAAGCCACCAGGGCAAGAACAGGTGGGGCATGAGCTGCACCTGCTGTTGCCCGCTCTGGTCAGACAGGAGTCCCAGGCCAGGGTTACTCTCTGCTTTCTGAATAGGTCTAGTGACTGACTAAGCACAAAACAAAGGCAAACACAGGAGGAAGCTTCACAGAATCGCAAGTGGTTGGGGTAGAGAGACCTTGGGAATCATTGGTTCAAACTCTCCTTCACACAAGGAAAACTAAGACTCCTAGAGGCAACACTACACAGGTGCTCGCTGGCTGTGTGTGGTCAAGGTGCAACTTGTGTTCCACCTGTTCTCACCCTGGTGGCTCCTAGTCAGCAGCCACCTCTCCACCTTCACCCTCAGGGCTGGTGCACAACCTGTCCAAACTGAAAATATCCTCTTTGTCCACGCACAAGTTACTAGATGTGTTAAGCAAGCTCCATGTGAAGCAGTGAGAGTCCTGTGGCTGGGTGTTCAAGCCCAGGTGGACATCTCTTGACAGGAGACTTCTACCCCGGCAGGGACCAAGTGACCGCTCAGGCCTCTAGGCCATACATTTACCAATTTTCTGTTATTGTGCTTAGGCTGCCTGTTAACAGACACATATACACGAATGTCTAAGTGGACGGACCGGTGATGCTCACACATGAAGTTGTCCACGAAACTGGCCTTCCGGGTTGCTCAAGCAGCGAGCCCCATCCCTGCTGCCGAGACTTCCTCCTCCCTGAAGGCTGCCAGCAGCTGCCCCTCTGCCCTGTGACCCCCGATCCTCCCTAAGACCCCAGCTCCACTCACGAGGTCCCCGGTAGCTGGGCCGTGACATCTCCAGGCGGTTGGACAGGCGCCGGCTACCGAGCGCCCACTGCACCCCGGGGTGGAGAGAGAGAAGCACGACACAGGGAGCAGGTCGGAACCCGCGTCCTCCCCCCGGCCCTCCTCGGAGGGTCACCTGCCCGCACCTGGTAGTCGAGCGACAGCCGCACACCCTGCTCCACCTCCTCGTGGAAGCACTGCCGCGCGCTGTCTGGCAGCTCGAAGGTGAGCTCGGCGCCCCGCAGCCGCTCAGCGCGCAGCAGCAGGAGCAGAAGCAGCGCTGCGGCGGGGCTAGGGGCGCGGCCCATGGTGCTCAGCTAGGTCCGCAGGGGACGGGCAACAGACCCAGAGAGCGCGCGGGAAGACGTGGCACTGCGGCGGCTCTTCCGGGCGGGAAGGCGCCAGTGCGCAGGCGTGGGGGCGGAGCCTCAACAACTGTGCGCGTGCGTAGTCCCGGGAAAGGGGGCGGGGTTGCGTGGTGGCCCCCAGCGAGGACAGAACCACCTGGACCTGATAGCGCGGGTTGCTAGAGCGCAACCTGGGCTGCCGGGCGCCTGTGTAGTCCACCACGCCCAACGCCACGGGGCTCTGCTCCACAGACTGCGCTATGATTCGCTGCCCCTAGTTTCCGTCTCTGGAGAACTCAGTCTTCTCGTTGTCTAGACCTAACATGCATAGCAGCTAGGATAAGGGAACATGGGGGCCCATTAATGCCTTTTTTTACATTTTTACTTCCACTTCCTCCTCTTCTTTTCATCTTCGCCTCCTCTTGTCCTCCTCCTTCCTCTTCCTCCTCACTTTCTTCTTTCCTTCTTTCTCCCCTGGAGATTGAACCCAGGGCCTTCCCACCGAGCTACATCCCCAGCCAGCTCTACATCCCCCAACCCCGGCCTTTTTTGTTTTTCATTTTTAAGCCACTAAGTTGCCCAGGATGGACTTGAATTTGTGATCCTCCTGCCTCAGCCTCCCAGAGTGCTGGGATGACCAACCTGCACCAAGATGCCTGGCTAATACTTTTTTTCATCCCCATCCTCTTCCCAAGGCAACAGTGTTTAAGGTGTGACGGGTGAGGTAAGAGTAAGACCCCCATGTACCTGCTCTGGGAAAACAGCAAGTACACACTGAGTGGTCTCATGGAAATGTGAATAAAGGCAGAGATTTCACATTATTTTGGCAACCAGGACTGGTTGAAATTCTTTTTGGATAAAACTTTTTTCCATTTCACTTCTCAAAAGCACTGGAAGAGATTAAACTGATTACTGCCTTTCCATGACTGCTGACTTAAGATTTTTCAGTGTAATTGTATCTACAGGGTTCTCTGTTTTTATTCACTAAAATCCTATAAACAAAAAGGAAAGACATACTGTAGTATTACTACTCAATGATGAATTTTTTCAGGAGGGGATTATTAGATGTGGTTGATTTCAGCAAAGAAATGTCCTACCCACGAATTCCTCATGTAGTTAAGACTGAAGTGTTTGTCAGCAGGTGCATCTGGCCCTGGGTTAAGGACCACTGGATGTGAAAGCAGCCTGTGGGCTGTGAAATAACACACACACATCATATAGCTATTAAATAATAACTGGCTTGTGCTAGACTTGGAAGAGGCATTTAGTGTATACCTTGAGGTTCCTTCCTGGCTTCTGTCCTGTTTTTCAATGCCCGATAGAAAACATGGAAGTAATCATCTAGACGCATCAAGTGGGAAACGAAAAAGCTGGCAGACCAAGGCCACGTTAGCCAGCTGGAGCACTAGGCTAAGAATAACAAAAAGAAATTCTTCTGGGTTGAATATTAAACCATACACCCAAGATCCAAGAAAGCACCTGCATGACTTCCAAGGAGGGGAGCCCGGGTCACAGCAGCAATCCACAGCATGCTGGGTGTGAGACCAGGGATTTCCAGACTGAAGAAAAGATCTTGGCTCAGGCTGGGTGAATGAAGCACAGCATGGTTTTGGCACCTGTTGTATTGTTTAGAAGTTATTGACACTAAAGGCAACTGTCCCACTTTAAAAATGAGCAGAGGACATCAACAAAATAAGGAAAATGTCATGGGATAATAATTAGGAGACCAGAATAATGAATTACCAGGAAGGCTTCTCAAACAAGATAAGGCCAAAAGATAAAGGATTTAATGTGGAAAAGTAAAAACTAATGATGAAGAGAGTATTGACTCTTAAGAATTTACTAACAGCAGTCCAAACAGCTACCATTTATTTAGTGCTACCACTATGTGTGTCACAGTGCCACCTATCTGTACATTTCACATACTTCACGTTAACCAATCCCTACTAGCAATCATGCCAAAAAGCCAAACAAACGAACAAAACAAAGTATTTTTCACATTTGACAAGGAACAAACAGCAAGCACCACAGGGAGTTTGATTAAATAACTTTTTTGTCTTTTGCTGTGCTTCATTAGCTTTAACCAACAGCGATTTATAACTTCCTTTGATTTTGTGGGTTAGCAGGGCCATCCTTCAGCTTCCGGGTTTCTTCCCAGGATTGACACAAAGCTGCTTGGGATGGAAGATGACTCTGCACGTTGGCAACAGATGTGGAGTGCTGGCCAGCACTTTCTCTTCCAAGTATCTTCTCACCTAGAAGAAGCTGCACCATTTTCTCACTTGACAGGCACAGGAGACACCCCGAGTGGACCAAAGTCAAAACAGGAAAGACTTCTGACTCCTAAACTCTAAAACTTTCCGACATCACTTTCTCCACATCTGGTGGCCAAAGCAAGTCCCAAGTCTTGCCCAAAATTCAGGGAGCTGAAGAAATAAATTTTACCTCTAGATGGCAGGCGTTGCACAGTGTTGTTGCAAAGGAGGCACTCAGGAGGATGGGAGAAATCTGTCACAGAACCCAAACTCATTCACCTTGTCTGTCTTTGGCTAACCCAGGAATTGAGCACAGACCTGCCCAATTCTTAAGGCTATGTGCTTCCCACCAAATACACCACTTCTCCTCATACCTCAGGCTTCACATGTTTTGTGTGTTCCATATGGCAAAACTTGGCCCTAAACCTACATCTGACTTGGAGGCATATTTCAGCTCAACATAAGAAATGACTTTCTGGAACTGGAAAGTTCCCCAAGAAGGGAATGAACAGACATAGTAAATGTTTCATTCCTGCAAATATTCAGGCAAGAGAGGTGAATGACCAACCACTGGAGAAGCTGCAGAGAACATTTGTGAATCAGGTGCTAGACTGTGGATGGCCTCTAAATTTTCTTCCAAACTTTATATTCCACAGTATATGGTAGAAGGTACTAAAAGTAGAAAAACTTGGAAGAAAAATAAAAGATGTTATTTATCCACTTTAGTCCCGAAGTGACTCCAATGAAGAACTTTTAGAATAATAATTTAAAATGAGTATCTTAATAGGTGCATTTAAAAATACATGACAAAAAATCAGCATCTACTTATGAGAAAAACTTTTGGAGAACCAAGAATAATGGTGAACTTCCTTAATGTCATAAAATATCTATTAAAACCCGGAGCAGACTTCATGATTAATGATAAACATTAAAATCTTTCCCTTTAACATTGGGACTCAGATATAAATCCTTGCTATCACAATTTCTATCCATTGTTGTTCTAAGAATTCTAGGTAGAAAGGTAAGGCAAGAAAGAGATAAAGGGATAAGAACTGAAAATATAAAGGTCAGCTAGTGCTTATCTCTGAGAGGAAGGAGGCAGCAACGGTTTAGAAGTGGCCTTGGTGAGTATTTCGTGAGTATTCACATTATTATGCTTTTGTTGAACTACACATCTATTTTCTATGACTTCTCTGTGTATTTTAATTTCACAATTTAAAAAGATTTAAAAAGTGAATAATTGTAGTATGGGGACATGGGCAGTATGAGGTAGACCAGGTTGTGCTCTAAAGAAGACTTTATCATTGTTCTATACAACAGGTGCACTCTCTAGAAAGGTCAATATTTATCCGTGCCTCATACATGCAATTGATGGTGAGGAAGGAAAGCAATGGACTCACTATGTGTAGCCTGACTAAAGCAAAAAATAAAAGTTCACAAAGCACTTCGCTTAGCCATGGAACTAGAACTGAGAACAGCCTCTCCCCAAACAAACCAACAGAGAAATGTACAATCACTGCCCTCCTAAAACCTACCACCTTCTCCAGAACAATTGCTTTTTATCGTTGTCAAGCATTTAAACATCTTTTCTATGAGAAAGGAGCAGCCTGGTTTTCATCACAGAACCCCAAACTGGCAGAAACTCCCTGTCCCTCTGTCCCTGATTCTGAAACATGTGGCTGTGTTCCCAGGCCGTACCAAGTTGATACCCCTGTGCCTGGATCTTGAGGAAGTGTCCTTAAGACAGGAGGTTGTCAGGGGTGACTAACAGCAGTGGTAGCATCAAGGGTCCATGGCTGTGAGAGTCAGTGCCACCCATACCCTGAGCAGATGGTTCTGTAGTCGGCTTTTGCTGGTGAACCTGGTTTCTCACCTTTCTTTATTCCTGAGCTTCTCTGAGTCCATCTCCATTCTTCCACTGATTCCATGGAGTTTGAGATTTTTAAACTGAAATGGAACTCACTGTATATTGTTCATTACCCAAGAGTAGTTACAAAGTTATGGAATTTTCCCAAAACACAAAGAAGAGACAGGAAAGAAGGGCTCAGTGAAAACCTATTAAGGTGATCCTAGGAGCAAACTACATCATTTTGTGATCACACCTCTTGGGATGCAGACTAGGCAGCAGACAGATCATCTATATTTCAAAAGTCAGGACCAGGAGGTCCTTTGAGATACTTTTTCTCCAACTTCTCATGTTGGTAACATGTTTTAATACAGAAAACTTTAGTCTTGATCTCTTACAAAAGCTCAGGATATGGGCAAACTGGAGACAACTTTTCTGCCAAGGCCTCTAGTCCAACTGTCAATGGAGTTCTTGTTCCCAACTGAAAACCCCTGAGCCTGCCTGGCCTTTACCGTCTGCATTCTTGTCAGCATTATGACCTTCTGAGCTCCAATAGGATTACCCATGCGGCTCTGCTTACTGTGTTCTAAGTCTTCTCTAGCTGGCGTCTCAGACCTTTTCAAACTCCTCCAACAAACCCATTCCAAAGGCTTCTTAACCATATGGTCCATATCTCACACCATATAGAAAAATTAACTCAAATAGATCAGGGACCTAAGTGTAAATCCTAAATCTATAAAACTTCTAGAAGGAAATATAAGACAAAATCTTTATGACTCTGGGTTAGGCAAAGACTTCCTAGATAATAGACCAAAAACACAATCTATAATAAAAGAACAAACTGATAAATTAGACCTTACAATTTTTTTTTTAAAAAATGGTCTTTAAAAGACTCTATTAAGAGAATGAAAGACAAGCCCCAAACTGGGACAAAAATCCTTGAAAGGTATA